TTGAAAACTCGTGTCCGCCATCTTGGATTTAGAAATAAATGCTATATTTGTAATGAGCACCCCCAAATACCTTGAAAACGATACCCAACTTGCAATTATTCAAAAAATCGTGCCCGCCATCTTGGATTTAGAAATGAGTGCCATATTCGTAATGAGCACCTCGAATACCTCGAAAATGGCTCTCATATTGCATTTATTTGAAAAGTCGTGTCCGCCTTCGTGTATTCAGATATAAATGCCATTTCCATAAGGATTACCAAAAATATAGTTTTTTAAATTCTGGTCACTTGACATTGTCGAGCACATTTGTAGGTACCTGATCGACAATGTCGGGCAAATCTGTAGGCACCTTTAACTTATAATTTCCCCACTTTTAAGGGAAATGTTATTCTATGGCATCATTATTTGTATATTTGTGTGCGTGCCGACGAGCGTAGATACAAGTTGCTTACGCCTACATGAATTTGGTTTTTGCCTCACTTGTGACAGTTCGTTTGATATGAAACTATCATTCTATGCGTTATTATTCTAAGAATACACGTAGTAAAGTTTTATTTATGAATATAATCCTCGTTTCTCATTTAAATGTGCCTCTCGCTACGCTAACCCACGGCTGCGTCCTTTACAGTACTCACCTAACGGCGGTTACAGCCATTTAAAAATTCTACAAGTTACATACCAGAGATTTCGAAGCCTCGTAAGACACACCTAGTCTGGTTCGTGACCAGTAAAAATCTTTTAGGTCATTTTAAACAATTCAAACTTAGCAAGAATTTGACACTTGCTGGGTTCTAAAGTTGTTTCGTAAAGTAGGTAAAGTGCCTTCCTTATGAATTGGTAATTAGTCGATAGTGGAATTTTACCGATACTGAAAATATTAATCGTTTTGTTTCTACAATTAGTCAATCAAAACCAAATTACATTCCAAATTTTCTAATGCAATAACTAAATCAAATACCTAGCAAGTGCTTATTTTAAGTATGTTTTGATTCTGGAAGCTACAGTGACTTTGCTTGTGTACGTACATATTTAAAATAAGTAAGTTGTAATCTTTTTTTGTGACATAAACATTCGTTGATTAGTGGCGCTCTATTCACTCTACATATATGAAATTTTAGACGTAGTCTTTCTTCATTTTCTACTGTAAATGTTTCTGGCGTCCCACTCCGCCGTAGCGGTCATTTGAGAACAGCCCCGCGACGCGCACTTATTATGGGCATCCACCCACAACTCTCAAAGTGCTTTTTCACCGGCTAGGAGAGACGAGACGAGTCGATGCGAGAATTGAAATCTCACCGACCTATTTCCACCAAAAATCACGAGCTCACGCGAGCACGCGCGGTTTCGCACGAGCACTCGCGAGCTCGCGCTATGGTTATGGATAGTGACATCACAGTGCTGTTCAATTCGTCTAGCGATAAACACGCGGCTAAAGTACCATGTCCCGCAAATTCTTATTATTAAATATGTTAACGGAATAAGAATCAGATGAAGATACTGTGAGAAGAAATAATCATTTTGTAATATAAGCTGTTTGTGGGTACAATCTAAGGTAAAATAAATAAATAAATTATAAATAAAAATAAAAAGAACTTTTTCGAAAATAACTTTTTTATAACCTTTTATCCCAGGGCAAACAAACTAGCAAAATACACAAAAAAACTTTATAACTGGCGCTGGTATGTTTACATTATATTGCAACTATATTGTATATATATTAGGTTGGGGAAAAAGTCTTTTCGTATTTTATATAGAAATTCAATACATTTTTTAAAATTATTTATTTACATTTAGTTATAATATATATGTGCCATTTTGTTCGACAACTTGTCGCCATTTTGTAGGTAGTGACATTATCCCATTGCTGTAGAAATTTTGGGGTTTCTGGTCAAAAAACTGCGACAAGTAGTTTTGACAGTCCTCTCGTGATGTTAACTTAGTACTACCCAAAGAAGTGGAAATCTGAGGGTGCAAGGTCAGGACTATATGGCGGATGCATTAACACTTCCCAACCAAGCTCTCTCAATTTTTGCTGAGTGGCTAAAGATGTGTGTGGTTTGGCGTTATCGTGATGAAAACCCACACCCTTTCTGTTGATCAATTCCGGCCGTTTTTTCTGTATTTCTTGCTCGAGTCTCATAACCTGTTGGCAGTAGAGATTGGAATCGATAGTTTTGCCTGGCGGTAAAAGCTCATAATGAACTATACCCTTCCAATCCCACCAGACACAAAGCATTACCTTATTGCGAGTTAATCCGGGTTTTGCTACGGGCTGTGGAGCTTGACCAACCTTTGACCATGATCTTTTTCGCACGTTCTTGTCATAGGTAATCCACTTTTCATCACCAGTGATCAATCTTTTTAGGAACGGCTCTATTTCATTACGCTTTAGTAGAGAATCGCAAATGTGTATTCGATTTATTAGGTTTCTTTCAGTCAGTTCGTGCGGTACCCAAACATCGAGCTTTTTTGTATACCCAGACTTTTTCAAATGGGCTAAAACCGTTTTATGGTCAACATTTAGCTCTTCAGCAAGGTTGTAACTACTAATATGTCGATCTTGCTCCACTTTTTCAAAAATGGCATCAACTTTATCCGTGACAGGGCGGCCAGAACGAGCTTCATCTTTGACATCAAAGTTCCTGGACTGAAAACGATTGAACCAATTTTGTGCTACTTACTGACACTGCGTTAAGTCCATAAACGTCACAAATTTTTTTCGCGGCTTGTGTCGCATTTTTCCCTTTCATGAAATAAAACTTCAGAATGTATCGAATTTCTTCTTTAAATTCACTCATCATGGCAGGCAGAAAAACAAAAGAAAAATGGCGGGAATCGGGTTTTATTTTTTTAATTTTATTTTTTTTAAATGTAATCCTTCTGATGGTATCAAAAACACCCAGATACATACTGTGCAGCCAAAGAGATTTTAATACAACTTTACACCAATGAAATACGAAAGAACTTCATCCCCAACCTATTATATATTTATTTATTTTTTAAAACGATGCAATGTTTTGAAAGTGGTTACATAATTATGATAAAATCACTATCCTAATCGTGTACATTTTAATGCAATTATAAATATATAAAACGATATGGACACCAGGACTATATATTTTTCATTGACTGTAGTTTGTTTATTTGTCTCTGAAATAACAGTATAACTTTTTTGAAATGGTGTCGTGATTACATATTTTTGAAAACAGCACAAGCCACATTTTTTGAAATATCTAATATTTACATAATTTCGAAAATGTGTGAACGTTTACATTTCAATGCACGCGACTGTATCCCACAATCTCGCGATTGACACAAAGAGCCTTCGCGAGCACGCGCGAGCTCGCGCGATATTGTACGAGAGATCGTGAATCGTGTTTCCGTTGCAGAGTTAATAAAGAGTCTATGTAGGCAGTAATACGGTTCAGTGGTTACATCAGCAAATATTTCAAATCTCGTCTCGCCCGTCCTCGTCAATCCCGACCATTTCCACCGAAGATGCGTCTCGCTTCGTCGCGTCTCGCCTCGCCGGTGGAAATACACCCTTAGACTTGAACCACCTGACGAAACATTTAGGTGTCGGCTGAAAGACCTTTTATTAGAAAATTCTTTATACTCTGTAAATGAAATTATGGACCTAAAAATGTAATGCTATTGAGCACTTTATATTATTTTAATTTGTATCGTATTGGCATACTTTTGTATATTTGTTATCAACTTATGATGACCGTCGATGGAGAATGATATTTGATATGTAATTTAATGACAATAATATTATTATTAATGGATTGTTAATTTTCTAATTATTGTGTATTTTTCTTATAATTTTCATTTTTTGTCTGACGTTCTCAATAAAATTTTAATGCATTGACATATACGTTTGAGAAATAAATGCATTTGACTACGATCGACATCCTACATAAATACTTATTACTTGGTTGACATTAAATTTTTGTAGCAGTAGAGCTCCCTGTGATAGAGTTCGTCCAGAGAAGTACTGCCACCTTACCTATTTAACATTGGTGAACTTACAGGCACATGGGACTTGTCAACTTATGTCTCAGGGTGACGGGTGCAGTAGCAATACCCCTCCAAGCTTTGCATTTTAAAGGCCTAAGTTTACGGCGTGTCGCTTACCACCAGACCCACGATTTGTTGTAGGTTTCCTCATGTTCTCATTCACCATTAAAGCAGGTGATTTATTAAAAGTTATCTTACTTACAATGTAAATAAATGCCTTTTTCTCTTGAGGGCATGTGAAGTCCAGATTCATACTTCTACCTTATAAGAGCGTACACTGGTCCTTCTCTATAATATTGATGTTTGATTGATGATTTTTAAATCATATTTCTAAATTACACGTGACAATTTGCTAAGTTGATTACTCAAACTGATTCAAGTTGGTCACGACTTTTGTGTTTTACGCTGCAAGAGGCGTTTGTCTGTAGTTTGTTTCTTCATATTTTTCATCGCAGTATATGTGTACATATATGTATGCTATGGCGTAAACGACTGGTGACCGCAACTCAAAGTCTAGGCGCTTATTTTGTGTGTGGTGGGCGCAGGGTCGTCATTGTACCACTCAAGCTCACCAAGAATGTCGCATTTTCCTGGAATTTGTTGGAGATTTCGGAGAGCGACCTCGACATTTTAATGTATTTCGTAGTAGGATGCGCGCTGCCGTTTCCTTGCCCTGTGGGGAAGAACGCTGTCCGTGGTGTCTGGCAGCGCTCTTGTGGCATCGTTTTAAGTTGTATACATTAGTATTTTTGTAGCAGTAGAGCTCCTTGTGAAAGAGTTCGTCCAGGGAGGTACTGTCACCTTATCTATTTCTTCCGCCAAGCAGTAATGTGAGGGTGCTGGTGAAAATACAGGCACATGAGACATGTCACGTATGTCGCTTAACACCAGGTGCACGACTTCTTTGTTCCGCATTAACTTGCCGACTAGAAAGCTCGGATACCCTCCTTATGTCGATGATATACCGCCCATTCAAACGAAACACTTTGCTTCCTCTTTTCTAAGGCCTACGGTAAAGAAATGGAATACACGCCCGGTATCTGTACTTTCCAAAAAGTACAAATCAGGGCTGTAGTAAATGGGTACTGTTTAGACAAACGCGTGCCTACCATCGCGATCGTCGGTCACATCATCGCTCAATACTAGACGAGATTGTGGAAAAGCGTGTCTATTATATAAAAAAAAGTCAGAAGAAATATGATAATTATGTTTGGTTTTTATATGTCCCTTCAACGTCTGGGGAATTTTCTACCCATTTCGACTAAAATTAGTCTGGCACATTCGCTCCTTCTGCCTATTCTAGATTATCGGATGTTTGTTATCCAGACTTGTCTGGGGGTCTACTCAATAAGCTGGAGCGGTTGCAGAACCTATGCATTAAATTCATTTTTGGGTTGCGTAAATTTGACCATGTTTCAGACTTTCGATCCAAACTTGGAGGGTGACCCATTCGTCGTCGTAGGGACTTTCGCATTTTATCCCTTCTATACTCTGTTCTCTTTAACCCCACCTGTCCTCCCTACCTCAAAGATTGTTTCGTGTATCATAGCACTACACTCAGTCGGACCTTACGGTCTTCTCTTACTCTTTCTTTAATCTGTCCTATCCACTCTTCTTACTTTTATTCTAACTCCTTCAAGGTTAGAAGCATCAAACTGTGCAATTCCCTGCCTGAATTGATCAGACGCGCTAAGAATGTTGATTCTTTCAAAACTTTAGTCAAAGCTCATTATCTTGTATGTAGGTAATTATACGTAGGTATATATTATTTATTTATTATTATTATTTTATTAGTATTATTTATTTAGTATTTTTATTATTACCATTTCTCTTCTTCTTTTGTATATGTGCAATGTCTGTATTCTCTTGCGCCGTCAAATAATTTTATCTTACTGTTTTTCATGTCCTGTTGTACCTGTAATTTTTGCATTTTTTGTATTATTATTGTGTATTTGTCCGTGTGCAATAAAGAATATTTGTATTTGTATTTATATTAATACAAAAATCGAATACACAAAAATTCCTTCGGTCCGGCCGTAGTAATTTCACATAAAAATAATTGAATATCAACTCAATAAAAATTTAAATACAATGAATTGCGACATCTCTAGCCGGGCCTGGTAGCTGTAAAGGTATCTAACTGCGTGACGAAATATCATAGATTTCTCATAGATGGCGCTACGTCTAAAAAGTTGTTGAAAAACCAAATACAAAGATACGACCCAAGGACAGAAAAATTCATGAGGTCCGCTGGTTCGTTCTGTGGCTTAGTTGGTATAGCGTCTGACACGGTAGGCTAGAAGACGTCGGTTGGAATCCGGCCGGATCAAAGGAATTGTTCCGAGTGTGCGATCTTTGTATTAATAATTATAACGAACAAGTGGAGTAATTTCACATAAAAATAATTGAATATCAATTCAATAAAAATTTAGAAATATACCTCCTCCTGCCTGCCTAACTGCCTCTGTGGCCGAACGGTTACCATACCGGCCTGCCACGCAGAGGTCCCAGGTTCGATTCCCGGGCCGGGAGAAATATTTGTATGGCCTACATTTATTTCTCTCGTGAGTTTGGGTGTAATTTGTGGTTGTCCATGATGTATGTCCATGCCACCCGCGACACAGGGTTTCCCTAGTGCGGAGCTATGTTGAGTGTGAGCGTTATTATTATTATTATTATTATACCTAACACTTGGATAGAATGAAAATTTTATTGAATCTCATGATGTTTTTACTATCATGATATTCGTATGTTTTTTGTGAAAATACGCCACTAGTTTGTTGTTATTATAACAATAATCGAACAAACACTAGGACTCGAACCAGCGACTTTATCGCCTGACCGGGGCTGTCGCTCTCCATACTTTATCGGAACGGGTTAGCAGACCGCATGAAGAGCTTTTTTTATAATATCAAGTGACGGGACGAACAAATGTTAAGCTCATGCCTGTCCATAACAGTTGCATGTCTGTCCATAACAGTTGCATGCCTGTCCATAACAGTTGCAGCGCCCGTCAGCCTGAGACATAAATTGACAAGTCCCATGTGCCTATAATTTCACCAGCACCCCTTACTCTTCAAAACCGGAACGCAGTAATGCTGACATTACTGCTTAACGGCAGAAATAGGTAAGGTGGCAGTACTTCCCTGGACGAACTCCTTCACAAGGAGCTCTTCTGCTACCAAATTTCAGGTAGAAGAGAGCCGGGCTCTGGGGTATTGAACCCGTGGGCTGGTAACGTTTCGTTTTTGTTAGCTAAACTTATTGTTTGACGAAAGTAGTTAGCAAACACGTAGCTCAGTGTTAGCACTACTCAAGCCTGCGAGGTCATCGGAGGGGTGGCGTTTATCAATAAGCGGATTTTTTACAGCTCTTGAATGGTGCGTAATCAATCATAATAAAGCAATCGTTGATGTGTACTCGAGTAAATTTATAAACATAGCTATGCCGCCGTTTTGAGAAATGTCTTGCTTTTAAAACATATATCGAAATTAGTGATGCAATATGTCTGCATCTAGTTCCGCAACTGCGGAACAAACAAACACGTTTTTTCACATTTGTTTCCTTTCGGCTTCCGCAATTTTTATATGGGAAACTACAATGTTCGCGACGGATCGTCAGTTTTGTGTTAAGTGGAATAATGAAACCAAGAAGAAACTCTGGAACTATTTCGTTGAGGTGATCTGTTTCTGTTTCTAATATGACAATTCTGTAGTATCAGTATATGTGTATACAGAAGTTCAGTAAATGTCCTACTTTTTAATTATCTTACTGCTAACTCAACTTATTTTAAAAAAGTTACGTTATTTTAAAAGTGGGTAGTAAGAAAAAAACGCGTTTTTTTTTAAACAAATGGCTAGACAGTTCTGTTATGGCTGCCACAGTCCTGGTCAACCCATTTGTTGCTTTAATTCTAAATCTAACACATACAACACATTATCTAGGACGTCTACGTACATTTCGCTAATATTGCCACGCAATAATATTTCAAACTTAAGATTTCAAATATGAAAAACATAGTAGTCTGCACAAATAACTAGCCATGGGCAAGGTACTAGAACACACTAAAGGCTATATTTGCAATATAAAATCTTTTATATTGCAAATTGATGTCGCGTGTGAACAAAGTAAGGTTTTATTTGTGATAGCAAATGTAGTTCGCTTGGTTTTTAACAATAGTGGTTCAAAACAAAATGTGTAGTTCACTTCGTTACTTATTACAAAGTATTCGAAATATTATTTTTTTTATACAGATTTGCATAGATTAATATAAATTACAATACGATGCATCGACTTGCGAGTCCATTACGCCTCAGTTTTTTTTTTCAAATCACCTTCCAGACGAATTTGCTTTGACAACCTTTGGTGTAATAATGCTACATCTGCAAAGTGTCAATTTTTCAGGAGAGTTTTAAAGGTTCTAGGAATTGAATTAGTCGATAACTTTTCTATGTTTAAATATGAGTGTTATAAATGAATTTATTTCAAGCTGTTCATATTATTTTTATAACTTTAATGTGATAAAGCACTTTTGACGTATGATGATATACATCGATATGAATTTAAAAAAGTATTTTCCAAAAATGTGTTAACCCTTGACAGATAAAAGTAATAATTTTGTTGATGTATCGAGTTTTGCATAAACCGTTTTTATTTTATCACTAATCGTAAGTTTGATAACTTGAAAAAAAAATAAACTTATCGTAATACTTACTCCTTTACACATCTTTTAATTATTACCAAAACTTCATTATTTAAAAGAGTAATGACAAAAGATGCCAAAAATCCAAGAAAGCAGGTTGTCTAGAATAGTGGCTTATCTCAAAAGAATCTATTTCATCAGTTAAAAAAACTGAGACATCTCTGCCGCGCAATTTTGACCTATCGTAGACTGTCATAAGGTAGTCATGATTATTTTAACCAATGAAAAGTTCGGTGTCCCATTCCCAATAAAAATTACCATTTTTTAAACAAATTTTAGTAGTAAGTAAAAAGGAATTAATTTACGTTGGGCCACTATTTCCGAAAAACAGCGATACGGCATTATTATACTAATTTGTTTTGAGATCGGCTGCTAATTACGAAAGCTATTGAGATATCTACACGTTTATACTGAATCACATTTATGGAAAAAAATTGTGTAGAGCCGCAACGGAAAACTGTCAAGCTACAATCTTCAAAATTGTAGCGTCAAGTTGTTTTATATGTCGAAGTGGTATCGATGTCAATTGGGTTCTGATACATGCCCAGGCTAACTGGTGTAATTAGACTAAAATTAATATTAAATTTAAAAAAAAACTTTATAAATATATCTGTGGGTATATGAACTACTTTTTTAAACATTTTTTTTATAAAAACACTTATGTAACACTTTATCTACAGCTAAGAATATGTTCATCTCACTACAGGGCACGGGTCTCCTCTATGGAGAGTATTATATAGAGGAACTACGTTATATATTACTTTTGAACACGCTAATGTTGGATTATTTTGAAGAATGGATAATAAACGTTTAATTATTCGATTAAATATATCTAAATATACACAGAGTGTTTCAAAATAAGGAAATTACAATCTCACTCATTATGACAGTAATTGTGCTTTGAGGTTTGGAAATAAATTAGTAGCTTTTGTTGAAATAAATGTGCTGTAGTGCATTTACATATTAAAGCAATATTATCTTGTATCTTTCGATCACGTTTACAAATGTATAATTAAGTGGTTTTTTGGAAATACAAATAATTATTGTTTTATTCCTATCTTTTAAAACACCTTGTGGAAACAATCTACTTAATAAATTCACAACTCTACCGACATAGTAATGAGATAGTTTTATATGTATAAACTGACTCAAAATGCATGAAAAAATTATCGAATATTTTTTTCATTATTTTACACTAAAAGTTAAGAGAAAGATTGTGAATTGCTAATACTAGCAGTAACTTTTTCATGAATTTTAAATCTGTTTGTTCTATATTATCATAAGTATATGAGCGAAGAAAATCTTAAATTCAATGGTTACGTCAAACCGTTTATTTATTTATATTAAAACTACATAAAGATCCACATATTATTATGCACACGACTACATGTTGACGAGTTCGAACTTTCTACATTGTATCTGATCCCAAAGAACTTCATGTTTGTATATAATGTAAACACGACTTATATACATTGTAATTCTAGAATCGTTATAACATTTCTGACTTCATTGCCCGGGAAATCAGAAATGTTTTCGTTATTATCAAATTTGTTTACATTAATATAACTTTTTATAAAATTTTATGTTTTTATAAAAAAAATCAAAGCTTATGTACACGGGGTTTGCATTCACTTTTCAAACGACATCCTTTATATATTTTTAGATTGAAAGTATATACGCTATGTAAATGCGCAAATATTATAGTCCGACCAGCAAAATAAGTTTATATTTACAATTTTATTACTATGTTTAATTTACAGCTACATCTGTATAGATTCGTTGTATTATTACTTACTAAGGAATGTATTTTAATTTTGATAGAGAATACAATGCAATTTTATATTAAAATGTAGTTGAAGCTTAGGAAAGGCAAAATATCTTGAATATCAAAGTTAATGGTCAAATTTAATTACTTATTTAATGGTATCTGTGGATTGTCCTTAACTTGAAGGGTTGTTGAAAGGGTTTATAATGATAATCGATAATACTTAAACATATAACATCGAATGTTCTGGATTGTGGTTACCAATATACAGTGACCTTATTATTATTTGCCTCATAACTTACCAAAGTTGTATGTTATATTGGTTTTCAATATCTATAGACACAAAGATCTACTTCGTAATATAACTAATATAATTTCAAAATGTTTCTTAACTAATGATAGAAATTTACAAGTACAAGTACAAGTTAAAGATACGTTTTCCAAATTAATTAATGTTTTATATTTTCAATAAAAATCCCGCACATTTTAATATAACGAAAAAAAAAATTATATTCTTTTAATCAAAGACTTCAATAAAAATGACTATTAATCATCTATCAACTTTCAATTCCATTGAAGACTTTGTGAATATACATTAACTAAATTGTACAACAAAAAAATTCAATGTAAAGCTTAGACTAGCCATTCAACGCTGGGTGGCTTCGTGAAGGGAGTGGTGATGTTGTCGTGGTCCGGTCACAGGTTGCACAAAGTGGTGTCCGTTGGAGGTATCGTCGTGATTATCTCCGGGTTCTTAATCGTTTTTATTCGCTGTAGGCAGAATTTTTTTATTAAAAACTACTCTAACTAAACTATTCTAAGTACACACACGCAGGTCTAAATAGTTTACTGCTAAGCTTGAAACACAACGGGCGCGTGTCGGGTCGGGAGCACGGCGGGTGTAATACGGACAACACTCCACGAGCGGGCGCAGGACCCGTCCTACATTAAACAATATCAAGACACTGAAGAAGGTATATAGATAGCGTTACAGTCTGTTCCCTAGCCGAATCAAAATCCGATGACGTTTTGAGATTATGTTGATTTGACCCTCTAAACCTTGGTTCTTCACTAGGAAATCGATTCCGAAAAATATTACCTCCACAATTATTCACCTTCGCTTATTTTAGGCCTAGATCCGTGTGCGAGATCACTCCCTGTGCGAGTGTGGTCTGGCAGAAGGTTCCCTCGAGTACTTGTTTTGTGACTGTAGACGTATCGTCACTCCTCTGTATGATATCCTCTCTCCTAAAGTTCTCCGTCCCGTTAACATCAACTTCCTCCAAACGTTAGTCCATTCTCTCTTTATATTAAAAAAAAACCAATTTGTTTCTGTAAAGGTTCTGTGTCGTTGTAGATTTGTAGATTCGCCTCTCAGTGAATTCTGTCGAAATTCACCGGTCAATTTTTGAGAAAAAGCGCGTCCTCATCTTGACATTGGTGAAATCATCTTTATCGATGATTTCTTCGAAGGGGTCACAACATTTAAAAGAAGAAGAAAAAAAAGAAGTATACAGTAGAAGTCGTAAATTTCGTCGTCATTTTTATTGTCGTTATTTATGGTTAGATTCTGTAGCAAATAATTCTAAAGTTGTGTAAAATAGAATGGCGTTATTTATTCAAAGTGTAAAGTGTAAATCGTTCAGACTAAACAGTGCAATGCAAAAACTAACTTCATCAAGTCAATCTATCAAGTTTTTTGATACAATAAATTACGAGTACAACATGATTATTTAAGATTGTTACAACCGTTTGACCAACGGTTTGCACCGTGGGTGTTGGGTGAGGTGGCCCGGGCTTGATACCTGGTAGGAGCAATTTGGGAAGCGAACATTTCTATTTTTTTTATTTTTTTTCATATTCTATTTAGTTCAGTTGATATAAAAAAATCATTGGTAACATGTACTAATCAGCGTATATCCTCGATTTTACTATATATTTTTTCCAAAACTTTATTCAACACCTTCACTGTTATGCAGAATCAACCAAAGCCATTTGAGGTTATATAGACTCTTAAATAGTTGTTTGTTCCACTAACATTTTTGTGAGTGTGAAGTAATTTTTTCGTCGAACATCAGCAAACAAATATTTCCATTTAGTAACAAGTTGTTTTATCAAAAACAAAAGCAGGGCTCTACCCGATCGAGGTTACGCAGTAGGTGCTCACTTCCACGATTTACACTACAATCCTTGTACAACCCCACCATTCGGTTCCGCACGACTGCACACGGCGCGCGGCGGGAAACGTTATTTCCACCTCTTTGAGCGCGTGCTTAGATTCCTTTTTCCGTGTACTGAGCGCCTGGTTTCATTAGTCAAGTATCTGTTACGTAGTAACTATTAAGTAACCTGTGACAAAAGTTAAAAGTAGTAAGTATACTCACAGTGTTGAAGTTTCCAGGTGTAATCAGGAACTTATATATGATATACACCGGTATACAAGATACTGTAGTGCCTGTAAGCACCCATCCAACTGTGATCGACCAGTCCGGGTACGTGTAGTCCCCACCCAGCATCTCTTGATGAGCAAGGACCGAAAATACGAACAGCACCAGCAGGAAGACCGGGCTGAAGACAAATATTTAAGGTTTTAATACAAGATTTCTATGCGATATGTTAATGCAATAATGGCGAAAAAGTTGTTGACGACAGACGGTGCGACTTGACATATATAAAACCACTGTGAAACGGACGTCTTTTTCACTCTTGTTGCATGGACGTAAAGTTTTGTACGACCGACATAATCCGAAGCTGCGTGGATAGGTGTAGTGACTTCCTTATACCGGTTTAAGGTTTTTGTGGTTTTATTATAGTATAATGAGACAAGTGGTGTAGTAGCGCGGCTTGTAAGTGTGACATCGAGTATATAACCAGAAATAGATACGAAATGTCATTTAATTTGGTTGAAAACTATTCTACCAAATTATTAAAAAAAAAAAAGTGTAGCGCTAACGTGTAACACTATCTTGTCTTATTATATCATGGTTTCATGCTCCGTGGTCATATCCGAAAACTACAGTAATAAACCTGTATTATTACTGATGATATCGATGATTCTTCATTGTAACCGATTATAAAGCGCTATCTGCAAGAAAATGACTTTGTTTCAAAGGATTACTTTCCATTACTATGTTTAACCACCATCGTCATCATCGTTAATCCATTATACGTCTATCTACAGAGCACTGGTCGCAGCTACGGAGAAGGCCTAGTCATTGGGTAGGTTAAGGACTTCTCACGTGTTCAAAGGTTGTGAAAAAATATATTCAACATTCATGTTTTATTAAATAGTAAAAAAATAAAAATATAGTCTCAGTACAGAGTACTAAAAAACCCGACCTCAAAAGTACGTGGAATTACGTCTATTTGCTAAGTTTTATTGAAATATCCCCTAGTTCGCCACTATACGGGACTTGACACTGGAGATAATAAAAATCGGTTCTCACTACTCAAAGTATTTTGAGAGAAAAACGCTTTGAATTGGAGAAATAGCAAAATCAACCATTAAAGTAATTGCTTCAAAATGGAATGGGACCACTATGGAAGTACCCCCTTTACAACAAAAAAAGAATCATGAAAATCGGTTAGCAAAATCAACCATTAAAGTAATTGCTTCAAAATGGAATGGGACCACTATGGAAGTACCCCCTTTACAACAAAAAAAGAATCATGAAAATCGGTTCACAAATACTGAAGTTATCGCGTAACATACATACAAAAAAAAGAAAAAGAAAAAAAAGAACATACAGTCGAATTGAGAACCTCCTCCTTCTTTGAAGTCGGTTAAAAAAACATTGAAAATTAAAAATTTAATTGACTAAACTCTACTGAAGGTTAGTAACAAAATTACTTATGATCTACGTGTTAGCAACGGCATGCAAGTGACAAGTGCGGTTTATGTACGGACAGTCGAACCTGTCCGCTATCATGCATAGGATGATGTTGGAGCTGGCCCGTACCCTGCTCACCAGTGCCGATGCACGTTTGTGCATGATCGTGTAGAAGCAGTCGACTTGCGTCGCTGCGAACATGCTCGAGGCGCTACAGTACCGGGGCGGCCCCATCAACACACACATACATACATATTTTCCTTTATCACTAACGAGAATTATTGCTACTAAACATTCACAAACGTATGTAATTTTCAAATTACAGTCATAGGCGCCATTGGGATCTCCTATCAATTGCAAAGCAGCCTTCTCACTAGAATTTCAGTTTGCCCCGCTAAAAACTTTGTTTCCCAGAACCATTACCCACATGTGTACCAACAGAAACCGAAAACCCTTATGTTCGCTTATTAATCCTATGTTCACAATATTCTGATCCCGAAATCTATAGTCATCGCCAAAATTCCATTTCACAATGACTCATAAAACTTACCTAATATAAGACCAGCACGCTCGCCAGAACCATCCAGGGGAATGTCCGAGCATAGTTTTCACATCTTCAGAGAACCGGTCAACTCCGTACACCCAACATACGCCTGCCGCTTCCGCAAAAACCACAAACAGAATTGCCAGTCCTGGACCATAGACGTTCAGGAGATCTACTAGATATACTCCGCCCTGGGGAAGAAAAGATTTTAATTCAGCAAACGTCATGAACCGCCCAAAACCTGACTCGTGACCTTGAAAATCTTTGAGATACTTCTAGTTTGTATCTAAGGATGTCTTCTTTTACCGTTAAATTAAGTGATAACTGCTTAGATAGGTACATATATCTCGAACTGTGGAAGGCTAAGATCATGAACCGCCATTTGCTAGACTCCTGACAAACCTCTTTCTCCTTCTTCACTCACATCAATTTCTTTGTCGACGTCCGTCCGTTTATTATTGATCCTATTAAGTTGACTTTTTTTAACGACTCCCCAATCTGATCAAGACATTGTTACGACCGTAAATGCGTCGATGTCTACTTGTAATCACATTCACTGTATAAATTTGTGCCTTCAATCTACAAACATCCTGTTCTACCCTGGTCACCACATCACCTTTCACACAACAACGCTCTCTTATTACACTGTTCGGAACTCTGTCGCCCTAAAACTCTTGCTTATTTATACAGCATTCATTAGCACTTTCATGCTTTTTTACCATACCGAACACTTATAGACGTGCATCAAGGTTAGGACCAGCACGCCCTGTTTAAGAGTTAAACATCTCCTTTCTCGACACGTTCTCGATTATTTCTAGCCAAGTACAATCTTTTACTATCTTTGATGAGTATATTAGTGTTGTAACTTTTATAATACCAATTGAAGGGACGAATAAGTCGTGTGGCTGGTGGTTAAGTGACACAACCTCCCATAATACCTGCCGTGCCACTCAGAGCTTAGATTGCAACGATCTGAGGAGCACTGCCACTGTCCCCGTCATCGTTAGAGGTAAATTTGAAGCGCCATGTACCCGTAGTTACCCCAGCACCCCTTACCCTTCAAAACCCGAACGCAGTAATGCTCACATTACAACTTATCGGCAGAAATGGGTATGGTCAAAATCAAATAACCATTTATTCCATAGGTAAAATTTTCACACTTGAAAACGTCATTTTTAAGCCACTACTCGTTCACTACGCTGACCTCCCTGAGAAGAACGAGCAAGAAACTGTAGGGATTGCTCTTTTCAGATAAACTTAAATGCCATAGAATACATTTTGAATCATATTTGTGTGGAATATAAAGTCACGTTGTCTTTCCATACATCTTTATCTAACACGTAGTCTACAATTTTGTAATATGACTTTTCAATTAAAACACTTTTAATGTAAATTTTAAACTTAGGAAATGGTAGTCTTAATCTAAGCTCCGGAATCTTATTATAAAAACGTATACAGTTCCCCATAAAAGAACCGTTTACCTTAGTTAAACGAAATCGTGGTACCATGAGTTTGGACTTAGTTCTAAGGTTAAAATTATGGATATCTTCTTTCTTAACAAAATTATGTATATTTAGTAAAATACTACTATTGTGTTATATTATGCCGCGCCTAGGGTAACCGACGGCAATCTTGGTGCAAGGTCCCTTGGCCGCTGTGTCTTTGTAGAGCACGACTAAGCAAATAAAAAGAATAGTTTAGACGTAGCTTATCTACAGAGAACAATACAATTAATGATACAATTCTAAAAGCACCTACACCACACGAGCAAATACACCAGTAGATAGTTTCACCGGCATCCTTTAAAACATCGTGTTGGCAGTACTTTTCCGGACGAACTCTTTCACACGGAACTCCACGGCTACCAAATGTTGTACTCACAACTTAGTGCTTAAAAAATCCTTTATTTATCAATGGGGTTCGGGTGCTAATGAAGAGAGAAGGAAATGTAGTTACAGTTTACTAAAACCGACAAAGTAAAGAAAACGCGACAAAAACAAGTACGTTTAAATTTAGATTTTTATTACAAAACTAAACTGCTGAAAGAACCACAAAAATATATACAATAAGATTCGTAGAGATTGCTGCGATTCGCTACAGTCCCAAAGGATTTTTTTTTATAATATCAAGTGACGGGACGAACAAGTCGTCCGCCTGATGGCAAGCTACACACCTGTCCATTACAGTTACAGTGCCACTCAGAGCTTTAAATCGCAAAGATTTGAGGTGCACTGCCACTGCGCCCGTCACCCCGAGACATAAGTTGGCAAGTCCCATGTGCCTGTAATTTTACCAGCACCTTTACCCTTCAAAACAGGAACACGGTATTGCGGACATTACTGCTTGGCGGCAGAAACAGGTAAGGTGGCAGTACTACCTTGGACGAACTAAAAAAATGATAAATTTGGTTAGCACTGCTGTAACTAATATAGTAAACAAATCCCTCCTAACTAGATAAAAACAAAAAGGCACTCATAAGAAACCAAATACGAGTACTTAGGAGGGCGTCCGAAATCAATGGCAAGAGAATGAATCTCGTATCACTGGCGAACGGTCGGTCATCCCCCTAAGTGCTGTATGAATAATGCAGTGTGTTCTCGCCTTAGATAAGAGTAATTTATCGACGAACGTTAACTCGTAGGTTTTATTTGTTAAAAGAGACCCAGGGTGTGTGATGGCTTTGCGTGCGGTGCATTGTTTTGTTTGTTAGTTCTTATTGATCAGAATTTTGTGTACCTACTTCGGTTTTGGCTGTAGGAAAATTTGAGGGTCTTATTTTGGCGTCATTCCGTTTATTAATTGTGTAAGGAAATAAATTTTATTATAATTAATAATAATAATACAAATCTTTTTTGAATAATAAATACAAATATCGAACTATCGACTCGTTTCGAACCAACGTTTGCTGGAGCAAACCGTGCCAGACGCTCTGCCTATTAAACCACGGAACGAGCTAGCGGATCCTACCGATTTTTTATGTGCTTGTTGCAGAGCTTTGTTTTTGGTTTTTTTGCCGTAACGCCACCTTTGAGAAATCCAAGAAAGCCTATATAATAATAAGCCTTTAGTTTTTGTTAAAAATTCCAGAAAGCCATCCGATTAGTAGTAGAGCAACATTAGTTCCTCCGACTCCGCTACAATACTACAATAAGTAATTTGCCGTGAAAATGACGTTCACTACTGGGCATGGGCCTCTCTCAATGTATGCCATTTCACCCGGTCCTCAGTGTGTCGCATTCATCTGGAAGCGTCGGGAAGTGAGCGTGCCTTACAGCTCCGCCACCAATGAGGAGATTTGGTAGTCGAATTAGAGTCTGCGGCTCAGCGGTGGCAACCGTTAGTAGTGCGGAGCGCGACGGGAAGTGAGCGTGCCTACAGCTCCGGTACCTATCTGGGAAATAGGGAGGGTACTGTACGTGCACCCGGGGCGGCTCACCTAAGGCACTAGCCTTGCAGAGAACCGGATAAAGTACGTGTAAACGTGCTTATCCGGGATTAGGAACTGACTTAGATAGTCTCTGTGCGAGTTCGCACACATCATAGTGCCCTTCCCGCAAAACCAAGAGGTTGATATGGAGGGGCACTATATTTATGTAGACAGATATAGAGCTGACCAGAGGGGGTCCTACATTACGTTTGTCGAGCCGTGGTCTCCACTTACCGACTCATTTCTCCTATCGTTACCGGTTCTTCGACAGATATGGTCAGCTCACTTCAGCTGGCTTATTCTACCAGCTACCTGGACGACCTTGATTCTCTGTTGGATAATTTCATTTCGAATCTTATCCTTCAGAGGAACTCCGATTCTGGGGTGTATTCTCGTCCTCTGTTCGATTCCGTCCGAAACAAGTACTGTCAATTAAGTAACAATTGACCCAATTAAAAGTCGGTATCAAGCATGAATCTTCATTCGCATCGTTCGTCTTTTTAACCGACTTCAAAAAAAGGACGAGGTTCTCAATTCGACTGTATGTTTTTTTTGTATGTATGTTACGCGATAACTCCGGTATTTGTGAGCCGATTTTCATGATTCCTTTTTTTTGTTGGAAAGAGGGTACCTGCATAGTGGTCCCATTTCATTTTGAAGAAAAACATCCACCTCGAAGGGTGGCTGTTCAAGCATGAAGATTCATTTTCATAAATAGCGCCTAACTTTAATTTAGGAGCAATTACTTTAATGGTTGATTTTGCTATTTCTCCAATTCAAGGCGTTTTTCTCTCAATATACTTTGAGTAGTGAGAACCGATTTTTATTATCTCCAGTCTCAAGTCCTGTATAATGGCGAACTAGGGGATATTTCAATAAAACTTAGCAAATAGACGTAATTCCACGTACTTTTGAGGTCGGTTTTTTTACTAGTCTGTACCGACATTATAATTAGGTCGAGTATTACTTAATTGACGGTACTTGTTTCGGACAGATGACGTAGAACGAGAGTTGGTTCCATACCTCGTTGAATACCGAATTTGTACAATCCCATTGATGGTCTTCCAAGTTTTGATAAATGTGGCGATTTCTTTACGTGAATTATTGTTTGTAATTTCCGGAGCATATATTAAGATTACCATTTTTTAAGTTTAAAACTTACATTAAAAGTATTTTAATTGAAAAGACATATTAGAGAATTGTAGATTACGTGTTAGATAAAGATGTACGGAAAGACGACATGAGTCTACATTCCACACAAATATGATTCAAAATGTGATCTATAGCATTTAAGTTTATTTGAAAAGAGCAATCCCTAGAGTTTCTTGCTCGTTTTTCTCAGGGAAGTCAGCATAGTGAACGAGCAGTACCTTAAAAAATTACGTTTTCAAGTGTAAAAATTTAACTTATGGAATAAATGATTGTTTGACTTTGACTTGATTTTGTTAACACACATATCTCCCCTACCTACTGAATAAACAAATCCATACAGATCGTGAGTTAAGCCGGTTGTCTAGCATCAGCACAATTGCGTATTGCTTTATGATAACTTTTGCCTTTTTCTGATACAGTTATAACGGTTTGGTACACTTTCCTATTACTTATATTTCTAAAAGAGTATATCATGTGGGTGGTAACCATCAATTATATTACTTACGAGCAAGTGTGATGAAAAGTCTTAACAGACAGTGCTTGAGACGTACTTAAAACCTGTGTGTTAAAATGGACTTTTGAGTTACGGAGGTGTATTCTGTAATACTTACGAACGTGGTTGTAGGTAGAGCACAGATGTAGATGAATAGGAGCAAAAATGCTACGAATATTTCGCGATGTCTGCCCAGCGCGCGGGGATATTCGTCGCATAATGCCGTAGTCACTGCTTCTAGACCTATAGATTTGACACGTAAATATTTAACCAAGCTGAAGGAAATAAAGCAGTCGGTAGAGCACTATGGGTATTTATTGTCAAAAACGAGGTAGAGAGACATTCACAGAAACGACGATGTGAATGAAACATGAAAACTTTTATTTATCTCGACCATATCCAGATGCAAGCATAAGCGACGGACTCTAAGAACACTAATTGGGGTGTTAGTAATCGTGCTTTAGACGGTAATTATCGGAAGTCGTCTGGTTATTACCATATAGTCAGCGTTTTGTAGAAAGGGCGTAAGCGCCATTTCGAATAATCTTTCAGCGGAGCACGTTTAGGTTTCAATTAACTTTAAGTTTTAAAATGTATTTTAATTTTTTATTGAATTGATATTCAGTTATTTTTTGTGAAATTACTCCACTAGTTTGTTATATTTATTAATACAAAGATCGAACACTCAGAAAAAATTCCTTCGATCTGGCCGGATTTGAACCGACATCTTCTAACTTACCGTGCCAGGCGCTATACCAACTAAGCCACGGAACGAACCTCTCGAACGGACCTCACGAATTTTTCTATGTGCATGCGTCGTATATTTGTATTTGGTTTTTTCAATGACTTTTTAGTCGTAGCGTCATCTATGAGAAATCTATGAAAGATTTATTACCCAGTTAGATATCTTTATAGTTACCAGATGTCGCTATTCGCTGTATTTTAAATTTTTATTGAATTGATATTCAAT